GCAGGTTGAGGCTGCGGTGGCCCAGAGCGGCCACCGCACTCCAGTCTGGGCAACTGAGTGAGACTCCAACTCAAAAAAAAAAGAACAAAAACCATAAAACAATATTAGCAAAGTGGAGTTTGCTTGATGACTACAAAATAGTTCCATGGGTACCTCAAAAACCAAATTTTAAAAAGTTTTACTTTGAGAAAGAAATTAAACATGTGTAATATTTAACTCTTTCTCTTACTGCACTCAAATTCTTCCTCTGTCTTTATTTATGGCCAGCATTTCTAACATTTACAAAGAAAGCATTCAGTTTTTATTTACTTTAATAAAAACTCAGCAGGTAAGATAAAGTCTATTCATATAGACTTAATGAGCTTAAAAACACAAAAGATAATATTCTTAGAATGGAAGGAAGGATTTTCAAAACAGGACAAGGAAAGTCTAGGGTGTAGCAAATCTGGATCAATAACAAGGTTGAAACATTATTAAAACTGTAATTAGAATCTACTATTCACTAAGCACTATGTAAAACACAGCAGAGAATACAAATAAAACATAAAAAAGTCTGTGATCAATTAGTTTTAACTCTCATTGGGAAGACAAACTAATACCATACTACACTCTCATCATATAAAGTATGAGATTTAGTAGTGTCAGGATTAATAAATCATATTTTTCATCAGCAATTTAAAATTATATGAAAGGTTCTATAAGTATTATAATAAAAGACCTGATTAACTACTATTATATCACCAGGAATTACCACCACCATCACCACCACTCCACCATTTGTTGACTGAATGCCTACAATTTGCAAAGCGCTGTTTTGATTCCTTTATATGCATTAGCTTCATTTAATTTATAAAATAATCTAATTGTGTTGTGACAGTTACAATTATTGCCTCTATTTTCACGAATAAGTTACCCAGAGTATAAGGATATTAAAGTAACTTTCTCAAGACTCTGAATGCAGGCAGTCTGCTGCTAGAAAAGACTGAAGGATGTCACATTCCCAAAATAGAGATACCTAGAAACTTTGAAAGACCCTGAGAACATATAGCCACTAGATAAAAGAAAGAAAAACTTTTAATGTATTTCTGGACTCCAAAGAATTAAAGGAAATATTAACTATTGAGAAGAAACTTGACTGGTTAACCATGAGGTGTATGAGAATGAGAAATAAATTACAATTAATCCAACAATAGATTTATCCATAGAAACAATAGAAAAAGAAGAAAAATGACTACACTGCCAAAGTGCTAGGGAGGTGGAGAAAAGACCGTCGATTCAGAGTTGTGTGCCCACAAAAATTATCTGTCAAGAATGAGACTAGATAAAGGCATGCTTCAAACACACACACAAGTAGACTTTTCCTCCTTGATGACTATCACTAAACTAGCAGCAAAAAGATGCAATTTTTTAAGAGAATAATTTTCCCAGAGCAGGTATTTAGGTTACAGGAAGAACTAGTGAACACAGAAATTGATAAACAGAAAATATATCAAAACACACATAAGCTATATATTGGGTTGATGCAAATGTAGTTGAGGTTTTTGCATTGTTGCAACTTGTAGTTTTATATTGGAATACATTTTCAAATAAATGTAGCTAAGTTGTACATAGAAAAAAGA